TAAAGCGATACATTTTTTTTTGCCAGATTCGTTCATTTCGTGCAAAAACGTGTCGAGCAAGTCTAATTTGTGTATATAGAAGCAGAAAATCATTTACGTGTTCCTCTATGCCAACGATGTGACAGATTTTCTAATCTAATCATCAGCCACAGAAAACAGACACATGTGTGACCATGCACATTGACAGCGCCACATTTGCCTCTTGCGCCAAAAATTCCAAAAAGACATTATCCCCACCACTTCGTAGCGGCGACGACGACGACGTCGACGACAATGACGTTTCTTAATATAAAAAGTTTCAGATTCGTATATTTTGCGTCGCAACGTCGCAATATCTCCGCTCGTAGATCACGTAGAGAAAAAATAAAAACACTTTCATTATATATCCCGAGCGGTTGCAATCGATTGAGCATACTTAGAACTTGATCGGTTCAGCCCTTATTGAAATCCGATAATCTCGATCTGCCGCAACTCGCCGGCTCGCGTAAAGTAGCCACGATAGTGACGCTGCGCGTAGCTTAGCGCCGAGACACTACCAGTGTCTCCAGATTTTGTTTTAAATATAACTAATGCATCCGCGCGTGGACAAGCCTGACGCTAAAGAGCATTCTTTGCTGTAGCGAGACTGCCCAGGATTTATCTATGGCAGTCGGTGTATATAAAACAAAGTAAATCAAAAAGTGTTGCCGCGAGAAGATCGACATGATAAGTTCTGAGGCAGTTGCCTTTGTTGTGCATAGAGCATCCGGCTATCAAATGTTACCATTACTGAGATATTGAGCAGCGCCGCCCCCGTCGCCGCGGACTCCACGCCACCACTGAAATGCGTTGCGGGCCGTAGCCGCGAACCCCGCGCACACCCCAAAATGCGTCGCGGCACTATAACGCGGATAAGATATTTTGTCTAGGAGATAGGTGACTCATCATCCGGCTGCTAAACGAAGCGCCATCAATGAGGAGTAAATGATGAAATCATACTGCGTTTTTTCTTTCAAAGCCAGAAGCGTCATAACGATATTTACAATCTTTCTGTCGATGCGTTATGCCGCCCGTTGCAACTCATGTGCATCCTATACTTACGATCTTTTCTCTCATTGCAGCTTCCTGTGTGACTCCTTTTACTTATTTTTATACGCAAAATATATACATATACATAGTATATATTTTTTTATTTATATTGTACTTATTCGATTATATTCTAATAATGCTTTTAAAGTGAGCGCAGCGATATTATCAGACGCGATGATATCATCGATCGCGATGATGTTGTCGGCACATGTAATATAATACTACGAAGAAAGTAGGAAGGAAAAGAAGGAATAAATATCGCAAAGACGGAAGGAATGAATAATTTCAAACGATGAGACATACAGTTTAAATATTCTTTTATTTTCCATATACTATTATATATTATCATCCATAGCGTAACTAATAATTCACATTTAATATTCGAATTTTTATCATAAATCTTACGCTAGGTGTTTGCCACATCGTATTTGTTATGTAACGCGTCTCGCGATAACATGAATGTAATTCAATACAACAAAAATGCTACGTTTGTAATTTCGCAAGCGTCGATGGCTTTATTAGATTTATCGTAATCAAAGATTTTTCAAGGACATGCCACGACAAGTCACAACATGTCACAACATGTTTGGCGGTGACATTATCAATGTGATTTGATATGAATGCAACGTTGCCAAATAGTGTACATGCCACGTGACCAGATTTTTCACGAACATTGGACATGGTACGACATGTCACAACATGTTCGAATGGTGACATCATCATCAATGTAATATGATACAAATATCACGTGACCAAGTAAATGGTATAAAATGAGACGATTTAGACACACCGCGTCAACGCAACCGATAACATGGAGAGCGATTTGATAGAGGAAGCGGTCCAGCTGAATACTAGAAAAGAGTACGTCGCATGGGAACAACGATGCGACGAACTAATAGAATTTTTGGAAGAGCAGAGTCGTACCAAGCGTCCGCGCCTCGCCGTTGGACACAGACAATCCGTGGTGGCGAGGATCGCGAGGCTCGAGAGTTTGAAGTATTCGGTGCGTGGAAGATTCGTGCATGTGGGCGCCGGGTACGGACTTCGATGGCGCGAGATCGAAACAACATTCGAGAGTCGTATAGTGACAGGCGCGGTGATAAACTCTAATCACATCGAGCCATGGCGGTTTTTGGAAGACGCTGGCAATGTAGTGCTAGAGCGAGTGCGAGACGCTGCAGAAAGACACGGCAGTGTAAAAGTGAACACAGCGTTCAACGGCGACTTCGCGACGAAGGATAAATGTGCTAATAAAAGCATAATTACAAAGAACAGCGAGATATATAGATGCACCGATATACGCGAGTGGTACGAACGGCACGTCGTTGATCCTATCTTGGCATTGCTCGAAGAGTTCCAGGAACGCGACAGTGGGTGGGTGCTGTCGCGAATCCTCAATTTGACTGTTAACGTGAACAAACTGAATCCCATGCGCGCGGGATGTCACTTCGAGGTGCCGCGAGAAATTATGTTGAAGAAAGCGGTGGTCAGTGTGAAATCCATGGACAATGCGTGATCGGTGGTCGCCGCTCTATACCCAGCTAAAAGTCATGTGGATAGAAAATCGTCGTATCCGCATTATACAACAGTATTGAATCTCACAAACATTGAGTTTCCGATGACTTTAAAAGACATTTCAAAATTCGAACATTTAAACGTGGTGTCAATCAACTTGTACGGCATCGAGAATAAACAGATCCTTCCTCTACGGCTCACAGGCGACAAGAAGGAGAAGCACGTCAATCTCCTGTACCTGCAAGGTGTATCGTTCATAGTATACGCCGACCTGAAGTGCGTCTTACGGAAGACGGAACCCGACAAGGAAGATACGTTGTCGTACGAGTATCAGCGGCATGAAGTATTCAGCATAGGATACTATGCGATGCTCGTACGATAACTCGTTGTCATCATATCACTTCTGTCGCGTCGAAAACTGTATAGCATGGTTCGCGCGACAGCTCAATGATTTGGCACATCGCGTCAAAGATATTATATCCGCCAACGTGCCCATGGAAGCGTTATCTAAGTAGCAATGGGAGGCGTACCGCAGCGCGACGCGTTGTCATACTTGTGAGAAGCCGTTCGCGCCGGACGATACGCGGGTCCTCGATCATTGCCACTTAACCGGTAGATACCGCGGTCAAGCACATTCAAATTATAATCTTAATTATAAAAATTCATTTAATATTCCAGTTGTATTTCACAACTTGTCGGGGTACGACCCGCATTTTATAATTAAAGAAATAGCTACCGCCTACGACGGACATGTAGATATATTACCGATAACCAAAGAAAAATATTTCGTTCATGAAACATGTCGATAGCACCAAAGATAAAAACGAAAATCATTTTTTTTTAAATTGCATAAAATTAAGGTTTATTGATTCCTATAAGTTTCTAAGTGCAAGTCTCGATAAATTGGCGTCGTATCTCGACAAAGATAAATTAAAAATTGTACGTTCCGAATTTTCAATTTTGTCAGACGAAGAGTTTGAATTACTGACTCGTAAAGGTATGTTTCCGTACGAATACATTGACTGCGTTGAAAAACTGCAGGACACGCGCTTACCATTGCGAGGATTATTTTTCAGTTCATTGACGGGTGATACAGTATCCGAGAGCGATTACGCTCACACCGTGAACATATGGCAGCGATTCTCCATTCGAACGCTCGGCGAGTACAATGATCTGTACTTAAAAACCGATGTCTTGTTATTAGCCGACATATTCGAAAATTTCCGCAATAGTTGTGTCGCGAGTTTACGGTCTCGATCCCGCGCATTATTATAGACTGCCAGGTTTTACGTGGAACGTTATGGTAAAACATACTCGCGTAAGATTTGAGTTGCTCACCGACATTGATATGATCATGTTCATCGAGCATGGCATACGCGGTGGCCTCAGTCAGTGTTCCGGCAGATACGCGCAGGCTAATAACAAGTACATGCGTTCGTACGATTCATCGAAACCGTCGTCGTACCTTATCTACTACGATGTGAATAATCTGTACGGATGGGCGATATGTCAACCATTGCCGTACGCCGAATTTCGATGGGTCGAAGACGCTGTAAATTTTGACGTGAGCGCGATCTCTCAGGATTCGCCTACCGGTTATATTCTCGAGGTCGATCTCGAGTATCCGCAACATCTGCACGATCGGCACACTGACCTACCTTTCTGTCCAACGCGCGATAAACCGCCCGGCAAGCGCGAAGATAAACTTCTCGCAACGTTGTACGATAAGCAGCGTTATGTCATCCACTACCGCAACCTGCAGCAATGTACTCGTCACGGGCTTCGCGTAACAAAAATCCACCGGGTGCTACAATTCGCTCAATCTCCATGGCTCCGCGATTATATTGAACTTAATACACAATTTAGAACGCGCGCGAAAAACGATTTCGAAAAAAATTTGTATAAACTAATGAACAACGCGGTATTCGGCAAAACTATGGAGAATGTGCGCGATCGCGTTGATGTAAAATTACTGACAAAATGGGAAGGCAGATACGGTGCAGAGGCAATGATCTCGAAACCAAATTTCCATAGTCGAAGCGTCTCTTCGGAGAATCTGATCGCGATAGAATTGCGTAAGCTCGAGGTGAAATTCGACAAACCGATATACGTGGGCATGTGCATCCTCGATATATTGAAAATGTGTTTGTACGAATTTCACCACGAGTACATGACACAGGTGTTTCGCGAAAAATGCAAAATTATGTATACCGACATAGATAGCCTCATATATCACATAGTATGTGATGATGTGTACGACATCATTAAACATGATATAAATAGATTTGACACGAGTGATTACACGGTTGACAACGCGTACGGTATTCCGCTCGTAAATAAAAAAGTTCCAAGCCTTATGAAAGATGAGAACAACGGTGCCATCATGACCGAATTCATTGGACTTAGAGCGAAAATGTATGCCTTGCGTGTAGAAGGAAAGAAGGATACAAAAAAGGCTAAGGGCATCAAGAGCAACATTATAGCAACGTCTATAACGTTCGAGGATTCAAGCAGTGCTTGAACGACGCAATTGAAATAATGCGTAGACAGTCATGCATAAGATCAAAATTGCCCGAGGTGTACACCATATCGGAAACAAAAATCGCTCTAACTCCTCACGATGATAAGCAGTATATCGTACGAGGTTCCACCGACACGCTGCCATGGGGACATTACCGATGTAAATAAAACACATTTGTCTTGTATAATATATGTTTAATATGTATATAACATGTATGATATGTATAATATAATATAATATGTATATATATATATGTAAACATAATACGCGTATATGGTAATTATAATATGCGTAATAATATTTATATCTTGCATAATAAATATGTTTTACAACACATTGTCTTTATGTATCCACGAATTGTGCGAATTGTCAAATCCCAACCATTTCACGTAAACCTCGTTCCCTCTCTTGCGCAACACCTTTTCAACGAGATGCACGTCGGCGTTAGAGACGCTATGCAATTCGTATTCGTAGAATCCTCCAGCGATAGGCTCCCCGCGAGAATATTCCAGTAGATAAGTCACTGGATTAGTTTGCTGCACTTTGATAATTTTAAACACCTCCGTGGTCCAATTCGGTGTGTAACCTTTATCAAAGACTGTCTTGAATTTGCTTACGCGTACCGAATCACCCACTTTGTATCGCGCGGGTGTGGCAATCTTTACGCGATTGGAAACCGTAGTTAAGAGCTTGTCGGCGATGCGGGGTAACGTCGACGGGACGCACACCGATAGTTCGATGCTTGCGCGCGTTGTAATTTTTACGAGACGCGGCAGGATATCAATCCATTTATAATTTCCGTTGTGCGTAAATTGTTTCCACATATCGTTCTTCAATGTACGGTTGAACCGTTCGACGACCGACGCCTTCATTATGGAATACGTAGAATAATAGTTGATGTCGTGTTTTTTCAAGAGTTTCTGCACGTCCGAGTTGTAAAATTCCTTCCCTCCGTCAGTCTGCAAATTTTTCGGACATCTTTTATTGTCTCAAATTATCTTTGCGATCGCATTCGTCACTTGATGTCGTGTTTTTTCAAGAGTTTCTGCACGTCCGAGTTGTAAAATTCCTTCCCTCCGTCAGTCTGCAAATTTTTCGGATATCTTTTATTGTCTCAAATTATCTTTGCGATCGCATTCGTCACATCATTTCCACTCTTGGCTTTAAGCGGCACGGCCCATGCGTGCTTACTCAGCACGTCGATAATGGTGAGAATATAGAGGTAACCTCTGTTGAATCGTGTATATGGACGCATCTCGACCACATCCGCCTGCCACAGGTCGTCGTATCCGTGTACTATGACGTATCTTCGCGGGAAATTTCTTCTCGTCGGAGCGTGCACTTCATTAACCAGCTGTCGTTTCTCAGACATTATGAATAATTATTCGGCACGATGCACTTCTCGAATTGTCTTTTCAAATTCTTTTAGCAAAACCTGCTAAAATTTTGTAAGGCTGCAATCTTCCTTTCGATTTCGTTCAGACGATCCTTCAAATTTTGAACACTCTGCTGCACGTGTTGTTTGCTGCGTCAGTATCATCTACCGGTAGCGCTACTCGTCGAATTTTGCGCGACTTAGCAAAGAGGGTTATCGCACGTAATTTCTCAGCAATCCACACCACTGATAGTGCTTCCACCTCGAAGCGATAGTCCAAACTTGTTGATCGGCATTGCGATGTCGACTGAACGATGTGTGTAGAACGAAGTTAATTTATAATCAGACCGGCTTCGCGAAGCTCTTCGATAATCGACAAAATCTCGTTGTTGTGACTATTGTGACCAGCCCGCCGCGAGGCCTCGAGCAATCGCAAACGATCTACAATTTCGTTGGGATCGACCCATTGGATATAGTCGATCTTGTTATCGTTTAGTATCATTGTACGCGGTAAATTCGCTCTTTTGTTTATTCCCGTTCCAACTTTTTTATCCGAAACCAATGGCGCTATTATGTTCTTATACTTGTATCCCTTACTACCCATTACTTTATTACTCGGACTATGACCGTGTCTGTGAGCGTTTGTCGTCAGCAGAATGCTTCTGTAGGTGTTTTATATCTTTTCCCATCTATAATTATATTATCGTTTTTGTGCAAGGTGATTTCTTTCTTATCACTCAGGACTGCTTTCATATATTTCTGTCCTAACGGACCATAGTTTGTTTGTAACTTTTCTTGACCTTCGGATGTTTGAAGTAGGTGTCGAATAGATGTCACGAGCTGTTCATCAGTAACCTCGAAAATTTCTTCGACGGAGGGAACATGGTCGAACTCATGCGGCTGTATTATTTCAGACGTTTCGTTCAAAGCGGGTACTACGGTTTTCGATCAATTCAACATTGATTTTACAGGCGTGGAAGCCTGTATAGGATTGTCGTACAAAGCACTCGGTCGTTTCCTTTTGGGTTTTGGTTCCTCGTCTTCCCCTGAAAAGATTGTTTCAGTCATGATAGGATCTTTGGAGGAATCAGCGGTGTTTTCGACAATCTGTTTCAGCGGGTCGATAATAGGTTTGAAGTGCCTCTCCAATGCGATGCCCTCCTCCATTTTACCAGTCTTCAAAGCGCGGTACTTTTTGCGAATCGAATCACTCGTTTTCGCAATCTCGTTAGCTACTTTCTCACGGTTTTTGCTGTTGTCCATGTCAACGTATCGATATCAACTGATTACCATACATCACGGTATCGCAAAGTCATTAAATCCTTTTCTGTATCGCCCATCGGTAAGCGCACTGTCCTTGTCAATTACTAGAAACCCATACTTTTGCTGCCAACATTTACGACATAAATCGCAGAAATTTTCGTACGGCATGTCGGTATTCACGTGATCGTTATACACGCGTTTCAGATTGGTACCATCCTGTTTGAATAGAATCAGCAGATTTGCATTGTCGCGTATAAGATGCTTCGGTATCTTTGCGTACGTCTGACAGAGACAGAAGCAGTCAACGTCTGCAAGTCGTCCTATTGCAAAGTACTCTCTTATCGCGTCCTGCTTGTCGCATGCCAAATCATCAAAAATAAAGATGGAATTCGGAAGCGCCTCGCTCGGTGGAATGACGTCGCTGTTATTGGAGAACGTAAAATACACAATTTCTTCGATCGGAGCTAGCAGATTCGCCAGGTACCGATATTTCCGCTGTTGTAACGATTTCGAGTACACGTACACGTTCTCGAATCTTACGCCGTGCGGACTTTCCAATAGGCTTATCAACACGTTCGTCTTGCTGCAATTTGACGGTCCGCAGACGATCGCGCATATAGAGGCCGGTAGCACGTTGCCATGCTTATGCGTCTCTTTACCGGTTTGTACTTTACCGTCGAGATTCGTCACTTTAATCATCCGTGATTGGCGCACGAACCGCATATTTCCTGCTTCCACAAAATACTGAAAACGATATCGCGAGCGGGCCTATTTATAGAGCAGCGTAAAGCGAAATCGTTCAGTAATTAAAATGTTTCTCGCCGTGTCAGACGATCTGCAGAGTTTAACTTTAAAAGAGCTGGAATACATACCGAAATTGTACTGCTGCGTGAGTTTGAAAATAGCATAGATCTGTTGTGGGACAGATTACCCGAGCATATACGAGTAGATTCGGAGGTACAGCGATACCGTCGGTGTCTGAAGCATTACAATTTGCTGGCTCATCAAACGCATATCGAAGGTCTGGCGCCTTTGATAAAAAATTGTAGCGAATGCCGTCGAGAGCCTTGCTAAATCGTGCGATAAATGCGCTTCCCTTCGAACTACATATTCCCGGATATTAGTTTTGCGGTCCGGGAACGCGATTGGAAAAGCGATTGGCCAGAGGTGATCGAGGTATCAATTCATTGGCTGCTGCGTGTCGCGAGCATGATATAGCGTATTCGCACAGCAACGATCTCGCTGAACTACACGCGACTGACAATATACTCGCTGAGAAGGCGCGGAAACGCATTACCGCGAGTGATTCAACTCTCAGAGAGAGAGAGCCGCAGTCACAGCCGTTTGGGCAGCTATGAAGGCCAAAACAAAGATTGGTATCGGCTTGAAAAGAAAGAAGAAGAAGAAGATTCTTCCAACAGCGGAACGCGGCGGCGTCCTGCCGTTCTACCGCTGCTTGGCGTTCTCGGGTCATTGATTGGCGGGACGGCGGGAGTTGCCAAGGCCGTAAACGATAGCAAAACAGCGCAGCGTCAGCTGGAAGATCTGCAACGTCATAATCACGTCATGGAAGGCCGCGGCGTTTATCTCGCTCCCTACAAGCGAGGACAAGGTGTCGCGCGTAAAAAAAAAACGTCGATGTAACGTTAAAAATGCCGAGAGGAGTAACTACCGATGTGCATTTGCAACTTGCAAACCGTATGCGCATTCCGTATTTTAGAGGTGTCTTTATGCATACTGCATTACCGGTCGAAGGAGTACGTCAAAACGAGAGCAGTATTGTAAATCTTGACAATGCTGTGGGACCCGGTACGCATTGGGTGGCGTACGCGAAAAAAGTGAATATTGTCATATACTTTGACAGTTTCGGCAATCTGCGGCCGCCGAAGGAACTCGAACGATATCTGACAAACAGTGTAATCGAGTACAATCGCGCGCCTTATCAGCGTTACAAGCAGAACAATTGTAGGCAGCTTTGTCTATAGTTTCTGCGGTCGGTTAATAAGCAATTTAAGGACCGACATTGCGCTGTTTAACTCAATGCTCGTTTGAAACATGTCGCTGAAGTTTACGTTGAGTGGCAAGAGTAACATCCTTACCGTGAGCTACTTTCCGGCGGTAGATTTGGGTGATGGTGATTACGAACTCGGTCTGACGGACTTTGAAACGTACTATACACTACCCAATGTAAATTCGACAAACAACAAGTTTTATTATGACGACGAGGAAATTGTCATTCCCGAAGGATCGTACGAACTGCGCGATATAGAGCGGTACCTGAAGCGCGAAATTTTACATTCTCGCGACGGGAAGGGCAAGGAGGATGAAGAATTCCCGCTGATATTTCGCGCCAACAACAATATGGTGAGCAGCGAAATTAAATGCGCCTATCGGATAAATTTTACAAAACCTCGCAACATTGGCTCGCTGCTAAGCTTTTCGTTGAATCGCGTGCTGGAGCCGCGACAGTGGCACGAGTCGGACGTGCCGATAAATATCATCAACGTAAACATCATTCGTATCGAGTGTAACGTGACCGTGTGTGCATACAGCAACGACAGATGCGTGCACACGATACACGAGTTTTCACCGAGTGTACCGCCAGGATATAAGATATCGGAAAGACATACGCAGATCATTTACCTTCCGATCGTTGTACGGAGCATTACGGATCTGACGATTCGCGTGGTGGATCAAGACGGTCGATTGCTTGATTTTCGCGGGGAGGAGATCACCGTTAGATGGCACGTACGACGACGTTAACGTGATATGTTTGTGTTGAACGAACAGCCGAAACAAACGAGAGATGGTTGATATCTTGAATATTATCGGCGAGCCGATCTTTGACGACTGCATCGTCAAGATTGAGACTCACACGTACAATCCGTACGCCAACACTACGTTTGGACATAGCGACGAGATACGGATACCCATACAGCAGCAGGATTTGTACACATTGCCGTGCGACAGTTTTCTTTACGTCGAAGGAAGATTGACTGTGATGAAGAAAAACGACCAGATGTCGTTGACGCTTGGAAATAATTGCGTGGCGTTCATGTTTGATGAAATTCGATATGAACTCAACGGTGTGGAGATTGACCGTAACAGAAACGTTGGAATTACCAGTACCATCAAGAACTATGTATCGATGGCGTACGACAAAGCTTTGATTGCACTGAACGCTGGATAGAACTCTAGATCCGATACAGAGGAAGGATATTTTAATTTTTGCGTGCCGCTCAACATGCTGTTGGGCTTTTGCGAAGATTACAAACGCGTAGTCGTCAACGCTCGCCACGAATTGATTTTGATACGAGCGCGCAACGATTACAATTGCTTGGTGGCAAATCCTGCGACGGAGCCAGAGATTGAATTATTCAAAGTGCAGTGGCGAATGCCTCGCGTTGCGTTAAACGAAATCAATAAATTATCAATGCTGCGAGAATTGGAAAGTGGTCGTTATCTAAGCATGAGTTTTCGCTCGTGGGATCTGTACGAGTATCCTTTGTTGCAGAATACGACCAAGCATTCATGGGCCGTTAAAACGGCGACTCATCTTAAGAATCCGCGTTACCTTATCTTTGCCCTGCAGACCAGCTGAAAGAATATCATGTCACAAGATGTTTGCCTGTTTGACGATTGTAATTTGAGTAACGTGAAAGTATATCTAAATTCAGAATTTTATCCGTACGACGATTTAAATCTGGATTTTGGCAAAAAGAGATACGCAGTCCTGTTTGATA